TGGAACACTTGCTTGCCAGCGTCCAAGGTTTTTGCTGCCTCTGCCGCTGTCTCTGTGTGTGTGTGTATTCTGAGGCGTCTCCCAGACAGCCGTCGAATGTTTAAATTACAATTGAGATTCAAATTGAGGAAGGTTTCATTTTCATTTCCATGTGTTGTTGAGGCTCAAAATTAGCCTCATTTTGTAAGCCACTTGGGTTTTAACTGCCAGTTAAATGGAGGGTCGTGTTTGGAAGAGGCTGCAAATGTAGAATCAAATTTCCACTTGAAGGAGACCCTAATTATAGCCACCTTTTTGGGAAGTTGGTCGAATTTCTGTTCAAATCCAAACTTAAAGCCCAAAAAGGACCCAAAAAAAGAGTTCCAAAAGTTCGTTAAAAATAATGTAATTTCTGGTTACCGAAAATCGAATACAAATCGTTGGCTGTAGTCTGGCCAGGAAAAAACCGCGCGTTTACCGGTGGCAATATCCGCTAACTGCTTTGCACCTGCCTGCCGTTGATTATGGCCGGCGCTGTACGTTGTGGTCGGTCGGGTCGGTCGCCTACTAACTGGGCGAACGGTGAACGGCGAACACGTGTCCGAGGTGCTGCAGTTTTTCGTGGGCTAATGGACCTTTTTGGAAAATTGAATGCATTTTTGCCACGTCACAAAAAACGAGGGTGTGGGGAGGGGGCCTGGTTCTGGGCCAGGTCTGCGCTGCGGCGTTGCATTTGCATTAAATGTTAATGGCAAAATGCAATTATTTTCGCACACACAACGACCCGAGGGGACACACCGCACATTAAGCACTCGTCGGCACACGCGTTGCGCATGTTCGTTGACAATTAATGCCCGTTTTTCTTGCTCTTTTGTGGCAGTCTCTGGTCTGCGCTGCTGCTGCTGCTGTCTGCGTCTAAAAATGGCCTGGGCCTGGTCCGGGGCCACACCACACCCCATAAGCAAGTATGAGCCCAATTTTGCATTAATTTCCGCATAACTCGGACACAACACACACGAAAAATTGAAACAGCAAAGGCGGCAGTCAAAGAGATAATCAACTATGAAAAGCTGACCAGACCGCTGAACAGAAGCCGGGGGGAAATTCTTGCACGGCAGCCAGTCACTGGGTGACCCCCGGCCACAAAAGCCAGCCATGACTTAAACGAATGCATCCGCTGGGGCATGCATGGCTGCTGCTGCATCGTTGACACAAAACTGCAGCCACAAAACAACAGCAACAACAGAATGGGGGAAGCAGTGGGTAGCCAGGAGGTCGAAGCAGGGAATGCTCTTACCACAGAAAGATATTCCCACCAAATTCCAACTCTATTTTCTGTTCATTTACGACCTTCTAGAATCGAAGTTACATCGTTATAGTGGTAGCCTCCTCGTTAAAGGGTATCCACACTGCAAAATTCCAATCATGCATTGCACTCTACTGAACTCTTCTGCTGCTGCCGCTGTTGCATGTTGCTTCTTTTTCATCATCATCATCATCTCCCTCTCTCTCTCTCTCTCTCGCTTCATTCATTCAACTTGATTATGGGTGTCGTCCGTCGCGGTTGAGGTCCGGGTGGCACTTTGATGTTGTTTTAGTGGCTTCTTCTCCGCTCTTCTACCTCCCCTCCCCTCCCCTCCCCTCCCTTCTGCTGCTGCTGTCCGTAGAGGTTATTATCCCCTGATTAACCACAATTGCTGACTGACTGACTGGCACTGGTCCTCTTCTTTTTCTGCTCTCTGCACTAAAACCCAATGCAATATCTTGTATCATTTGCTTATGGTCTTTCCATTCATTGGACTTTCCCTCGAGCTAATCTTCAGTCATTGTTGATTTTTCTTGCGGATTTATAGCGACTAATCTCCATTAGGCGTTAATTTCTAGCATCTTCCATTAGAAACAATGGCAAAGAAACGGGATTTAAGTGTACTTTTGTTTTATGTTTAAATGTTTCTGTGAAAATTCCCTTCCAGAAAGGTTTAATGGATTTTGTATGTGGTTTGTTATGAAAATGGGATTAAAACACTGGAAAACTAAACTTGGTTTCATTCTCAAATGTTTCTACTATAATTTCTTAACATATTTTCCATAATTTGTTGCAAGGTAATGCAAAAACCTACTAGAAAACTGTACTTGTTTTCATTCTCAAACATTCCAGATAATCTTTGTTTGCATTTTATCATTTTTGCTTTGGGTATGGCAATGGAACAGTGGTAAGCTGTACTTTTCTGCATTCTCAAACGTTTCTTTGAACTTCTTTCATTCATAAATATTTCTATCAAACTTTTATTAATTTATTATGGATTTTTGCAAGTCACATAGCTTTGGTTCTAGCAGATAAAAGATATTATCGTTTTTCCACAGCATTCACTGCATTCTCATGTTCGTATTATCAAAGATAAGATTATTTTCTCAGAAATGTATCTTTGACAGAACTTTCACTGAGTGCGGGTGAAGCTCTTTCGAGAGAACAATCTTAAGGGAACCCTCCTCCAGTGAATGGAACCCTACTCCATCCAGCGTATTCTGTACTTTTAATCAAATAACATTTCGAGTACTCTCCAAAGCCACAAAAGCCGGATTGCCAGAGTTGTCATCCCACAAATAAAGAGGAAGGGAAAGGCAGAGGAAAAAAGAGCAAACGCATAATTCCAGTGTCAACCCAAGTGGCAGCAGAAAGTATTGATTTTTTCTTTTGCGTTTTTTATTCGGCGACTAGTTGGGAAATTCAAAAATACTCCGCACAATGCACAAACATTCGCATTCTCAGCCGAGACATTTGGGGCCAACAGTGGGGTCTGGTCTGGTACTACAGTGGGGCATAGGTATAGTCACCGCCGAGTGCGAAACAGTCCTACGGATGCGATAGCAGAGCGCGCGCCATTTGCATTCTTGGGGCGACGCCAAGCCAGGAGGAGGAGCGGCAGGAGGGTACCGAGTACTTTCGTACTTTCGCATAAAAAAAGTGTTGGCAACACACTCTGGCCCATTCCTGCCACAGGTCCCGCGTCCTCCCGCTCCCTTCTGACTTGTAGTTTCGGTGTGTTTTTGGCATGTTTCATTGGCAGACGAAACGCGCTTAAAATATGCAGAAAAACGAAAGAAAGAAGGTGTGGTTCTCAAGCCGAAGATGGAGATACTCTTACTGTATTTATGGTATATAAAGGATATTTGGGTGCAATTTGGGTGCGATATAATGGAAAGATACTTCAATATACAGATATACGATATTTTGGGACGATATGGGAATAAAACAGTCAAAGAACTGTACTTTTCTGATGTTTCACAGTGTTTTTCAGCAACTGTGGCCTCTCTCTGCTCATTGCTAGCATCTGCTCAAAATCATAGAACCTCCTGCAGAAAAGGGTATAAAAAGTCGCGTCCAAAGAGCGCAGCAGGTGGAATACTGTGAAGAGCGACACAGCGGAATGAAATGGCACACAACTGAATGGAATGGAATGGTGCGGAGTGGCTTGGATGGTGGATGGGGTGGGGGCAAGTTAAGTGAGTTACTACACACCCATTTTTCAATTGCTTTGTACAGCAATTGTGGATTGTGGCTGTTGTGTTTATTGTTCGCCTGATAAAATGCTGCCCGTCGTAGCAGCACCCGCAGCACCAATTGGTTTTCCTCGATATTTTCACCGAAAAATGGAGCGGAAAAGGAAGCGAAACTGAACTGAAACAGGAGCACCAGTTGTCAAAAGTACCACTGCAATGGCGTGCCAACGTCACTCCTGGTCCGTATCGTATCCTTTTTGGGAGACGACCCTTTCCCCTTTCGCCCCGGTCCCCGCCTCCACCTCCGCCGCATTTCGACGCAGCGCAGTAAAGTCGCTTCAAATTTATTTTAGACCAAAGTTTTTGGAGACTACTACGGCAAATGTCGGTGTCGGGTGCCCCCAAACAAACTGTTTAGTGGCTGCGACTGACTCCTGGGTTTGTGGGTTTGTGCCACATGCGGTCTGAAGGTTAGGCCTGTTCTTCCTCCGACGCTGGGACATGCTCATTGGGCTGTGTCTGACCCTTTTGTTTTTTCGTTTTCTTTTTTTCCCATAGAATGTGATTTGTTTTGTACTTTTTCATCCTTTTTTCACTTTTGGCAAATAAAATGCTGTGGCCATAAAATGTATCTACTCTTTGGGTGGGTTTATTTATACGACAAAAAGTTGATTGTTTCTCTAAAGCTAAACGATTATTAGTTGGACAGAGAGGGGGGAGGGAGAAAAGGTGAATGAAAGAAGGGGAACATCTCTGGGATTGACATTTGATTTAAGAGCCGTATCTGAACAATGAAAATAGGTTAGCATTTCGCAATGAAATATCCACATAAATCTCAATGAACCTTCGAAAAGAATTATGTTATCTAAATCGGAATTAATGCCTGCCATATTTACCGATCAATTACCGCCTTGGGTATATCAATCAAAAGCAGAGTCGAAATCACGCGGTGTGTCCGTCCTCCCACACACAACACAAAAAACACACCTTGTATTTAGTTAATTATTTTCTCAAAAACAATAAAAAATATTCGCTGACCAATTGGCAACTGAAATTCACAACAAAAGTGTGCCCATAAATATTTATTATTAGTCATATGAGAATTTAAACAAATAAGAATTCCAATTCCACACCGAGACAGGGGAGAGATAGGGAGAGAGAGAGAGAGACAGAAACCGGCTAAGGTTCGGCGTCACGAGAAATATGAGAAATCGTCGGCAGAACAAACACAAATACAATATTATTGTATATTGATAATTTAAGCAAACTCTGACAATAATTGATAAAGGTAAATGCCTACTGACGTCACGGAACGACGATTGCAACATTTAGTATTTTACACAATTGTGAATATTGGAAAGGGGGACACCTTTGAGGGAACCATATCTATTTATAATTTATTATCTTGAATATCTAAAGGGGGACATGACGCTCATTCCGGGTTTTGTACTTGTAAATTGCCTGCAAACAAGATATACAGAGCGAGGAATCGTACAAATCAACATATAGATTATATTTACATGGAATATTCCGATGATTCAAACGGCGGGTCTGATGCTGCTCTGCTGCTGATTTTTCCTATTCATTTATTGCACTTTGTTCCCACTTAGCACAGCTTCAATAACGAGTTTTCTTTTCGCTCTTTTTTGCTTTGGGTTTTAATTACTTTTTTCACTATCGCCTGGCGACTGATAAGCCCGGACACCTTATCAATGGAATTCTTTGGCCGTTTTCCAACTCTTTCGATGATTTTTCGCCAGGCCAGGCCGTCCGCGTAAACACACACACAAACCCGAACAGACAGAAAAACCTATTTATTTATAAATATTATCAATTTTCCTTTCTGCGAGGTTTTTCTATCACTAAAAATATAACAAAACTGTGCACCCTGAATATTTATAATTCCTTCTTTTTTTCGTTTTACTTTTATTTGTTTGCTTGTTAGGTTTTTTTTTTTTTTTTTGGCACTCGAAAAGCGGGAAGAACGAGAACGAAATCGTAAAATTAAATTTTGAGCGACCTCGCGTACACCCTTCACGTTCAGCGGCCGATTTTATACTTGGCGCGATTTTCGACTCGACGCGACTCGGAAAGAGTGTAAGCTGGCACGACTTTTGCTGTTGACCGATTTATGGTATATATCTCGATCCCTGTACCTATTCTCGAGGTCTCAGAGAACTGCGTTATGTGCCTTTCCTGTTTCCTTTTTTCCCAATCCTTACTATCCTTTTGGGCACAGTTTTTGTGACAGTTTCATTCAAATACGCCCGCCTTCAAATGTTGCTCGGCAACAAACGCGTGATGCTGAGAGAAAAAAAGGTGTGGACAGCAAGGCAAAGCGGACTAAAAATACCAGGCATGCAACTTAAAATCCACCACAATTTTGAACATACTATGAACTCATGGCATATAGGTCCCCAAGTTTAGGTGAGGTTTATGTTTTGTTGCTAGGCATGTTTACGCTCTCGCTCTCGACTCAGTTGCGTTACAAGTATGAGCATCGGTTCTCTTTCTCGACAAGAGAACAGCTGACTGTCAACAAGTGTTTTTAAAAACCTGCTCTTCGGGGTTCTCTTTCGTTTTGCTTGTGGGTTATAAAGCGGCTTTTGGGGATTGAATGAACCAACACTTTATAATCGTTTAGGAGCTATATTCCTCAGGGAAAAAGATTATTAGAACAGTCATCATAGATAGATATTAAAATGGCCAAGAGAAAGCTCCCATTACCAATTCATTCTCCCAAGAATGTAAAGCATTTAGTATGAGTAATTTCTAAAATCTTTAAACTGGTACAATGTAGGGGGTGATATCTAATTACAAGATATTACAAATGTATATGTCCTAATGGTTTCCATAGTTAAATTAATACCGCCTCGAGGCTGGTCTCTCAAATGGCAAACTGTCATGGGAGGAAGTCATTACAATTTACTTTGCTTCTGTTTGCATAAATGTACGAGTATTGTACACATGAAATTGAAACACGTGATCCAAGTGGAAGCCATTTGCATGCAGACGCCATAAACTGCATTGGTTGTATGTCCCTTTCACCACTTGGCACCACCCGTATCCTCTGGTCTCTGGTCTCCGCTCTGCATTTCCATTTGGGTTTTGTTGGGTCTCTTCGATTAGTTTCCATTGTTGGGAGTTAGCCGGAGCCCCAGCAGAGTGATGGCATAAACAAGAGCGGCCAGCCAGTAGAATGGAGTGGAGTGGTGGAGGCTAATGGCCAGTGCAATGGCCATTGTTGCCAGTCGTCCTCCTGTTCCCCGTTCCGTTCCGTCCTGTCCTGCCCCGTCCCGTTCCTAACCTCAAAGCAGACATCATAAATCAAAGAACAAATTTGCACTTCAAGTGCGCTTTCAATAAGTTTCCTACTGTTTCTGTTGTTGTGCAAAGTTTTGCTCTTTTTGCACTCATAAATCATAATTTAAAGTTTAAGTAGAGCTGAGCGATAGGGAGATAGAGACGGAGGGATGTGGGAATATATTAAACAAGACTTAATGAAAAACAAAACTTTTCTATTTGCAAAACCTGCAAATTGAAAGAAAAGTGTTTTAATAAAAAGAACCAGAGACTCCTTGGAGTAAGAGACGACGAGATTTCAAGAGAGATAACGAGCGAGAGCGAGAGAGAGAGAGAGTGACATTAACGGATCAGATGACTAAACAGTCGCCAGCAGCAAATAATGATCACGAAGAATGAGGGAGGAGAAGCAGAACGTTCAAGAGGAAACTGCTATAAAAACAAAAATGGCGAAAGTTCAACGGAACTTTTTTTTGATTTCGTTTTGTTTGTTATCCAAAAGTTGTATATTTTAGCAAACGGCAAAAAAGCCCGCACAGCTGTCCCATCGTCATGGGAGAGGAGCGTGACTCGTGTGGGCCAAAGAAGAAGAGCCCAGTCGGGCAGATAAGAGAAGAGCGGACCGGACCGGACCGAAAGAAAACCCCGAACCACGCGATGGATGGATGCCTTATCAGCGGTGCGGCAAAACGAATGAATGGCTGAAAATAGATGGATGGATGAAATCGCAATGAACGACGCCTAAATAGAAGAGTATTCTCTATGCAGGCGGCGCAACTAATCGTCGCTCGAGGGTCGGTACCCCAGAGGGTCTTTCCGTAGCATAAGCAGTTCTGATGATAACCGCGAAGTCTGTACGTCAGCCATGAATCATTCAATTTAATACAAATATTTGATATTGGCTTTGGGCGCTTGTTCTGGCCGCCGGAAGGTACGTACATAATTCGTGAGATAGGAAAATGTAAGTATGGGACATATCTGTAAGTACTTCTGGGAATTTTATATGAATATTTCTTACATAGGATAGATAGTGGCTAAGGAATTTATGTTATCTAATTATGCCAAGGGGCCTAGAAACCATTTTTGTAATAGTATTTATCCGTAATTCCAATAAAGGAAAAAGAATTACAGCTGATAAATAAGCACAAGCCAAAGGGAAAGGAAGAATCCCCTTTGGGATTTTTTTGTGCTGCTCATATTTAATTATACATCCTAAATACATGAAACGCAGTAAATTACATGAAAATAACATGCTACAAAAAAATTAGCATACTTTTGGGTGTCGAATGTATGTAAACATTGTGTAAAATATATGTAGAGTTGCTATTTATGGGCTGTAGTACAATTTATTTATTAATTGTTCATTTTTGCCGATTATATTTGTTAAACTGGACGTCTCATGCCCGTTTTGCAATCAACAAATCTCCCTGATCAATTGAGAGTAATTCTCTCCGGAAATATCAAAAGAAAATCGCCAGAAATTTATTCTGCAACACAAGCAAGGGCTGCCTGCGGGTAGCACTACTTTACCCTACTCTTGTCAGCCCCAGTCTTAAATTTATGGCCGCTGCAAACAAAAGCCAACCCAAAAAACTTGACCCAACTTAACCCGAAAGCTGAACTCAGCTAATTGCCGAAAAATTGAAACAAAAACCACGACACCAGAAACGAGGAGAGCAAAATAAATAGCGAAGAGCGCACGCAGTAATTTATGCATTGCGGTAAAGGGCGCACACACACACACACACACAGCAGCATAGAGAGGAGATTTAGGTAGGGAGAGGGAATTATAGAGGTTGCCCTAGGCCCAGATGAGGTGTCAATTGCCCCGCCAGGTAGAAATAATATACTCCTATAGTGGAGAGCCCCGACCCCGACCCCAGGCAATGAAACCCAAATTATGCGTAATAAACCGTGGCGAAAATTTGTGCGGAATCAGCGAAATGTTTTGGAAAATATGCAAAGGGCCAGCCAGGGCATGGCGGTAGTGGAGGACTGAGTATTGTAGAGGATTAGCGGTGTTCGTTTAAAACAGTTTCAGCCATCTAAAAATAGCCATTTCTTCACTCGCACAGTCCTAGACCTAATTAAAGGCACTACACACTATCAGCCATTGAATGCGCCTGAGGCTTTGCGGATGTTCTTTATCAGTTTGATAAGATTTCAATCAATTTCATAACCTACTCAACAATTATTTGCTATATTTCATTCATAAAACAGCAGTTTACTTCCTATTACCACCGATAGCCCACATATAAACGGTCTTATCATTCACTGAGTCACTTGGCAGCGTAGCGTACTAATTCACTCACCTTGATTTTGGTTTTGTTTATAATCCTACGATATAGAAACTTGTACATGGCCCAGCAGCAGCAGCAGAGGCAGAGGCAACAATAACAATTTTTGGGACTTTAATCACGTTCTTTCATAGACACACACTCACACGCGGAAATAACAATTATTTAGCAAACAAAAATAATAACAATTTTACAGTCGCTGGGCACCAACTTGAACGCTCAGCGTGGGTTGGATAGAGAGACGATATGTACAGACGGACGATCGACGAGCGTTGCTTTTCCTCCTACTCCCGCGAAAACGTCATTGATGACTAAGCGAAAGAAACGGGTCGCGACTCGCGAGATATGAGTTATGTTATGAGAGCGGCAGAGCCAATTCCGTTCCATGCATTTTGCATGCGTTTCACGCACAGGAGCGAAGTTTACTTAAGAGCAGGTAGACGACAGACAGGGCCGGCTGCATATAGGATAGAACTATAAAAGATGTTGAGCACGACAGAGATAAGGACAGGACTCTTGAAATTCTTTGCAGATGTGGTACCGATCCGATCTGGGCGGTTTCGTCTTATGTAGTCACTGCTGTTGTTCTCATTTCAACTTTCGCTGCACATAAATTGGTGGCCCAACTATTCCCCCTTGAATACGCCACTGGGCTGATCGGTGTCTCTGCATTTACAGCTACTTTTTCTCAGGCTTCGAATTCGGAGAGCAGAGCGGCGACTCCCACGTTGTTATTGGCGAGCGTCAACGCAAATACATAAAAAGCGAAAATGGCAAAAATAGCCATAAAACCATAAAATGTCAACCCAAAAAGTTCAAAGATGAGCTTCGCGGCAGCGACATCGACGAGCCGGCACACTCCACGCGATAACGGCACTATTTTTACTGCATTGTTTTTTTGCCCGCTGTGCTGTGTGCGGCCAGAAGAATGCCAATGAGGAAATGTCAAGACGGGTATAAAAAGAAGAAGCGCCGCTAAAAGCCATTAAAGCCAATCAAATAAATTTACAACAATAAAATGTGTGTATTCAAAGCGAAATGTGAACAAACTAATTAGCTTTTAGAGGAAGAACGGGATCAGGCAAAGAGAGATAGAGAGAGAGAGAAGATGAACAAGTAGAAGAAGAAGAATATGGAGAGAGACAGGCAGGTGCCCAGAGAAGATGAGAGGCTTGACATTTGCATGGAGAGGTGAAGGCTCTGCAAAAATGAATCAGCAATCAGCAGAGGGGAGGCAAAGAGGAATAAGAATAGGTCGGTGCTGACAGTGCTGATCGGTCAGTTTAGCTTTTTCGAAGTGAGTAAGCAATCTAGCCGTTTTCAAGCCAGAGCTGAAAATAATAATACATCGAGAAGACATCGCTGTCTTTCACACATACATACATATACGTACATAAGGGAATATCCAACATAGTAGGTAGTATTATATTCTCTTAGTTACACCGTCTAGCTTCTTTCAAGCCATAATCTTTGGGCTGCACTGTTTGTCCACTCACCTGTATTTCTAATAAAAGTTCCTGCTTCTTGCGTCGCAGCTCTATCAGTAGCTTCTGCTGCTCCGGCGTTAGTTCTGCAAACAAAAGAAAGAGACGGGACACTTTTTTGGTTAATTGGAACGCAGCACAAGCGCAGCGCAGCTGCAGCAACAACAACACATTCCAGCAGCACGCACCCACACACACACACACGCATACACAGAAATACACGCACGCACTCTCGCATACACTATTCATTTTGGCTGCATCTGATGCCTGCCTGCGCAGAAGCGAGATGGCAAATGGGCGGCCTGTGACGTAGAACTCTGCTTCGTTCAATCAATAAACTTTTTTTTTGCTTATCTCCACTCTCTTCCTTTACGCACAATGGGCGACTAATTGAGTAAATTGACTTATTAGCTGTAATTTAGCATTTGGGGATTATTATTAATTCAATTGAAGGCCAGAGTAAATGAGAACACTCGCATACACATGCAGAGAGAGGGAGACACACACACACAGAAACACGCACACGTAGATTGCTTGTTGCTTCATTAAATTTTTAGTACGGGACTCGCCCCATTCCATTTTCATGCATTTTTCAAGGCATTTTCCCACTTATTTCACACAATTTCACTCGGCTACTCCGGATTTAGGATAATCCGCGCGCACTGGGGCTTCTGGCACTGGATTTTGCTTTCGTTTCGTTTCGTTTACCTGGCATCGAGAATTCACTGCGCCCCTTTGAAACGGCCCCATACGATCTGTTGTCGAAGTTGTCCATGGCGCTTATCATTGTGGCGGTCCAAAATAATCACGCACACACACGCACAATGTGAAGCACGCGAACACACTATTTAAACATAATTTGACTAAAGTTATTTGAGTTTCCTTCAATTTTCATTGAATTTCATTGTGATTATTGTGATAATAAACAAAAAGTCAACACCTCCAGTGTGACCGCGGATTTATCGATAAGATATACAGTCTGACCCTCAGAAATATACCGAAACATATCGTCTTACTTTAAAAATATACCGTAAATATACTGACGAGCTCAAGTTCTACAATACATATCCTTCGTTTTTGATATTCCGTGGAATATAACTACCTGAGGGTCTGAACTCATAATTTTATCCGATTATAACATCAATTTCCTACTAGACTGGTTGATAAATGGTTTATAAGATAAGGTTTAAGCAATACCGGTCAACAAAAATGTACACTAAATTAATTTTCTTACATGGTAACTACATACTAAATACACATTTGCTACAAATGAACTACATTGTCATGTAATTACCAAAGGCGACACCTGAAATGGGACGAATACGATATCAAAGGTATCGATATATCGAATACCTCAAACACATTTTTACTATTGAACTATCGATATCTAGCTTTCCAAAAATGACAAGTAAAATATGGAAATAGAAAATTCTGTGAGAAAACCTGCTCAAATGATTAATAATTACTCAAAGGAAAGGTTAAAAGTAATAAATAAATTCCGGATTTAACTATTTTTTTCTGGCCGAAAATCAATCACCAGGTGGCAACTCTGCGAACATATGTGCAGGCATCGATAATTACTTACAATTTTTTGAACAGAATATTTCTGGAAATTTCGACTCCCGGAAGACTTGCAAACAACGCGAAAGAAGCCACCGAAACCACTGCCGGACCAGTGACGAGCCAATTCCATTGCATCCTTTCATTCAGCAGTAGCAAATCGCCGACAAACAAAGCATAAACGATGGCCAAATGGGGAGAAGGAGATCCTCGTTGGATTGTCGAGGAGCGTCCCGACGCCACCAACGTGAACAACTGGCACTGGACGGAAAAGAATGCAACGCCTTGGTCCAAGGACAGATTGCATCAATTGTTCAAGGACTTCAAAATAGGCAAGTCATCACGCTGTAGCAGGGGGGCACTGCAACAAAAATTCTAACCTAAAACACCCGTCCGTGCGTTTGCGTGCGTTTTGTTTCTGCAGACCAAAGCGACATCGAATGCGTGGTCGAGGCGGTGGACAAGTGCCAGGGCGAGGCCACCGTCAACAATCGCAAGGGCAAGCTGATATACTTCTACGAGTGGGAACTGGTGCTCAAGTGGTCCGGCCAGCTTCTGAAGAACAGCAAGCTCTCGCACAAGGGGAAGCTGACCATTCCCAATCTCTCGGAGGAGAACGACCTGGAGGATGTGGAGATCACGGTGACCATCGATGAGTCCAACGACGAGTCTGAGACCCTCAAGCAATTCATGTACAATGTCGGGCGGGATAGCATTCGGAAGCAGCTGGGCGTCTACATCAAGGAACTGAAGGAGGAGTACTCCAAGAACTTGATTCTACCAAAGAAGGGCGACGAGGGCGGCAACTCCATCAACAATGCCAGCCTAAATGATGCTAACAATGCCAGGAATGCGGCCCAAAAGGCAGCAGCAGCCGCGGCCGCTGCCGTAGCAACACCCAAGGCCAGCGACTCCTCGAAGGTGGGCTGTAAGCTGGACGTGCGCACTCTCTCGATGACCGAGGAGTTCCACTGCAACGCCAATGATCTGTACAATGCCCTCACCAAACCCGATATGGTCTCTGCCTTTACACGGGCGCCCGCCAAAGTCGATCCAGTGCGCGGTGGAGAGTGAGTTTTCTAATCCGTTGATCTCCTGATGACGGTAACTAAACGGTCTCCTCCTTTTTTTTTGCAGATTTGTTCTTTATGGCGGCAATGTTTTGGGCAAATTCGAGGAGCTCATCCCAGAGAAGAAGATCCAACAGAGCTGGCGTCTGAAAAACTGGTCATCTGGACACTTTTCAAATGTACTCATAGAGCTAGAGGAGACTGTAAGCAGACACTGATAATATCATGATTTCAGAGTATTATTCATCTTCCATCCAACCTTTTCTTTCGCAGTCCAATAGCACCATGATGACGCTCAAGCAGACCGGTATTCCCGCCTCCGAGTACGATGCAATGAAAACCAATTGGCATCGATACTACTGGCATAGCATCAAGCAGACCTTTGGCTTTGGCACCTCCATTGCAGATTCCTTATAAGCGAAAAGGTTCACTTTAGAAGAAGATGTTGGATTGGATTGGGGCTACTTTACTGTCTGTGCTGCCTGAAATTCACTCATTTCCGTAGCTATAATTTCTGTTATTCTTGCAATAATTCTTTAATTCGACAAAAATCGATCAACGCCTCGTTTACAGCAGCTAAAACAGTAAAGTCACACCCACTACCTTCAAAACTAAGCAAACTTCACCAAAATTTCACGCTTCGCTCCGAGACATTGATTTCACACATTGAAGAAATTCAGAGTTAAATAAAACAAGAAATCTGAAAAATATAATTGATAATTTCATTTAGATAGAATCTACTCTATAACGAAATCTGTAATTATAATCCTGATATATCTGAATGTCGGTCTAATTGTAAAATAACAGAATTCTGGTTAAAAGAGAATACATTATCCAATGAAAAAATCTTTTTGTTATTGATTTAAGAGGACTCTACGAAGAGTATATGGAACCCCTCGTAAACCCCATCCAGATGAAAAGTTTGGGGTTGAAGCATGACAATAAGCATCGGTGGTTCAGTGGTAGAATGCTCGCCTGCCACGCGGGCGGCCCGGGTTCGATTCCCGGCCGATGCAGCAGTACTTTTTTTGGATATTCTTTATTCTTTGAGTATCCATAAGGGATCTGTTATAATTGTATAGAATATTAACTTGAATTTAATGGAAGTTTAGCTTCAAATTTGCGAGCTGTTGCCTTTCAGATCCATTCTACAGCTAAACCTTTTACAGAAGAGGAAAAAGAACCTCAACCGTGAGAATTTGAAAGCAGAGGACACCTAAAGACCTTCCCTTAAGATCAATTTCACGTCTAAAACTATCAGGAAACAGGAAACTTAATAATATTTAAGGGTGATGGTGATTTAATGTATACATATGATGGTAATTACTTAGCTACTATCTTTCTCGGGAATTTGGAAGTAGAGGTCCTAAGTATTGATGGTTCAGGCCTTTCCTTAGGATACACTTCTCATCTAAAACTACTGAATACAGAGGAACTAATAGAAATACCTTGACTACTGAAAGTATTATCAGTAAGAGTGGATTATGCTAATTTTAGGCCACTTTCGAAGGTATCTATAGTCTATATTTAAGAAAAATATTAAGTTCAAAGTTCAAGATCGAAAGTTATGAAGCGGAAGACACCGAAGCATCGGTGGTTCAGTGGTAGAATGCTCGCCTGCCACGCGGGCGGCCCGGGTTCGATTCCCGGCCGATGCATTGCTACATTTTTTATTTAATTTTTTACATTTCTATGATCGGAAGCCACACCTTAGTTCTTTTGGTGCGTTGTCAAATGTCTCTTATATTCCTGGTAGTTGTTGGTCTTGTAAATCTCCTTCGATTTCTGTTCCGAGCACTTTTTGCACTCGTACATGAATTTGCCAGGATGCATGGTCGTTTTCATCACGTGTTTGCGTAGATTGTCGATGTTTTTGCATCGGAAAATGCAGTGGGGACACTTGTGGCGCCTCTCATCCGAATGACTGATGGAGTGCCGTCGGAGTTTGTCCTTGCTGCGGGCCCTGAACTCGCACTGATCGCAGGGGAACCAATTGTCCTGCTCCTTGCCATGGACCGACTTGAGGTGCCTAAAAAGAGGAAGAGAACGTAAGAAGAGCAGAGCCATATTTAAAATCTCAACGCTTGATTAGGCGGTAAATTCCAGTGGCGGCTTGTCCCGCCACCGCAGTCAGAACTAATTGCTAATTTCGCATTCGAATCGCACGCTCGAAATCAAAATACGAGTAAGTTGGCAATTGGCAATTGCCTTTCGGCCAGCAGGAGCCGCTGAAGCAGCAGCAGCACAAGCAGCAGCCGCCAATCCGGACTTGGCTTAGATGGCGATCAGTTTTTTCGGGCAAAGAGCGGGAAACAAATATTGGGAAATGAGGGAATGGCTCGGTCGTACACGACTGTGCTGATGAGCTACGGTAGCTCTCGAGCTATTGCTCTTTGCTCTCTTCGCACGTGTGTGCCTCGACAAAAACGTTGTAACTACGGAGCAAAGATGAGTAACAACCGTAGATTTCAATGGTACACGATTTGTATAGAGTAATAGAGCTCCCAAGAGGAATCCCTGAGGTGTTAGAAGGCTCTCTGTACAATGTGCCTCGACAAAAACGTTAATTTGGGTGCCCTTCCACATGCTTTAACCAATATGCCCCATCTTGGAGTCCCAGGAGGCACAGTCTCACTCACACGATTTCAGTTACGCGCCTTCAATTATACCCCAATGCTCCTCCAACCAACTGTAGGACTGTAGGCTCCATTTGCTCCTCCTCTGCGCTGTGTGTGTGTGTGTGTGTGTTGTGTCCACTCGACTTATCAGCTACTGTCCAAACCGAGGACTCACAATTAATTGCCAATGTTTTTGTTGTTGTTGTTTTTGGTATTGGAATCTGTGTGAAATCTCAAGCTTCGAATAAACAGAAAAACTTGAACAGAAACAGAGCGTAGGGAGAGAGACGAACGGACGAACGCGACTCGCGGTAGGCTTAATTAGCGGCAAGTAATGGAGCTTCCAGGAGGAGCTGCAGCAGCAGCCAGCCCCAGAAGTTGTAGGAGGTTTTCCCTGTACCTCACTCTCTGTGTTGAATGCCGCCGCCTGAAAGAAACCCCTCGAAACGAGGCCGAGAGATGCCTTTTTGGCTGCGCTTTGAAATTCCTGGATCAGCAGCAGGGCCAACCTTTTGATAGCTAATTGAAGATCTCCAAAGGGAGTTAAGCGCATCACAGAGCCACAGTTCTCTCTCTCTCCCTCTCCCTCTCTCTCTCTCTCTCTCTGTCTGTCTGACTTTCTGGATCTGGAGAAGATTTATGCAAGCCCGGTTTTTTGGGTTGAGGTCAAAAGTTTTGCGTATTTTTAATGAGGCACCACATTTCGTGGTGTTCTTTGAATGAATTCATTAACTTTTGCGGCAGATAAATTCGGGAGAGTAATCAAAATTCAGGGAAATCTTTAAAAAGAGATCAATCAGGAGGCAAATATCTTTCTATGACATTCCTTTCTTTCGTTCGACTATGAAATTTTGATGTTTAATCGCCCCCATTCAATCGTCAAGCCAAAGCCAAAGCCAAAGGTTAAGGTGATCAAGGGTATTAACCATTATCCACCCAACATTCAAATTTGCTGTCTGCACGGCAGAGTACAAAAGAAGCCAAATGTCGTACCCATCAAAGCGATCGAGGCGATCGAAGCGACGAGGAAGACGACGACGACGACGACGATCCTCCACGTCCAGAGTAAAGTCCCCCAATGCCACTTACAACTGTGTATCCAACTCTTTTCTTTTCTTTCTTTTTCCTTTTTGTTGTTTTTTTTCTTGGGGCGGACAGCTGCAGCACAGTGGCTGCTGCAGCCAACACACAGTGGCACTACCCATATTGCCGGCAATTTGGCCCTGAACTGATCGTCGGGATTCGGAGAGCAGCATTGGAAATATTACAAGAATTCAATGCGCATATCAAAGGCGATCGATAAGTCACGATTTTGTTGGAGACGACTGCTCCCACTCCCTACTACATGCAACGTCCATTGGGGCAAGCTCTTCTCTGTCGCTGGACTGGACCCGGGCTCTTCGGTTGCGACTGTGACTGGATCTGGGACTGCGACTGGTACTGGGACTGGCTGCTGCCTGCTGCCTGGTGCTGCCTGCTGCTGCCTGCCTGCCTGCCGCTTGTTGTTTTCATCAATTTATGCAATTGCCGTTCAAAGTCTGCAATTATGGATGACATTTTTGCTCTTGTTGCCTCTTTTTTTGCTCCTTTTCTTCTTCTTCGTTTTGGTTTTTTATTTAAGAAATTCAAATTCGTGTAGAAAATGTCGCTCGTTTATTTTGTTAGCTGCAATTGTCTTTTTGCTGCCTTGTGGGTTTGGTTTGGGTTTTCTTTCTTTGTAAGTCCTGATTAGCATTTTGTAGATTAGTAATAGGGCAGCCACATTGTCGGAGGAGCTCTCCCGGTGCTGCCTGGACCTCGCCCCATAGCCAAAAAAAAACGCAAGTCAGGGGTAATATGTGTTTGTGTGTGTTTGTGTGTGTGTGTGGGAGAGGATAATGAATTGCCAAGTAATTGAATGGAAATGCATTTTGCGGGGGAATATCGAGAGTGCCATAATACTTATTTCCAAGGGTTATTGGAGAGGGGGTTTCAGACTATTTTCGAGGTCATCTTTTAATGGGATTAAGGGAACTGAAAGTGAGTATGTTAGAAATAAAGATGAATCATTAAAAAATACAGCAAATAATAAGTATGCCAATCCATAAAATAAAATTTGTAAAAAACCTAGTAATTCCTCATGTGGGACTCTATTTTGGGAGTTACTAAAAGGGCATAACTTTGCGGCTTTATGGTAATTTGTATCCTTTTTAAATTATAATCATATCCAGAATTGATTCTAGAATTCGAGCTTTACTTAGAAGATAACGAAGGGACTATTGAACGATCGGAAATGGTGTCGTATCAACAGAAGATTCAGGCGCTTGTGCCTCGAAAAAACCTTCCACTACACTCAGAGAAAAATGGCATAGAAAAAAGAATGCACACACATATTTTAAATTAAATATTCTGGTTTTAAATACAAAAATAGGGAGATTAAATATATTTCAGTTTAATTTAAATACAAATATTAAAGTATTTTTATTTATAAATAAAACACTTTGCAATAAATATAATATTAACTTTTAGAAAACATATTTAATTTAAATACAAAATATGTTTTTGTAAACTAGTGGGCAAGCCCCTGCGGGCCTTGACGACTTTTTAATATAATACAAAGATTTGAAATATATTTAAATAAAATATTTGAATATTAATACAAAAATTTAATTGAAAGAAAAACACCTTCCTTTTACAATCTGCACTCTTGCTGAATAGTTCAATGTTTTTTTCTCTGAGTGTAAGTCGTTACGAGTATTTCCATAAATTTGTAAGATCTTATCCCCCCAATTTAACCAAAAGTTAAATCTATATTTAAACTATATTTTGATGGAAATTTCACTCACCTTTTCAAATGCACTTCGCTCTTTCCCACATACTTGCATTGGTCCCTGTCGCACTTGTGTTTTCCCTGGGAATGAGAGGCCAAATGGATGCGGAGGCTCACCTGGGTGGCACCCGAATATGTACAGTCTGCGACATGACAGCGAAAGCTACGCTCCACAGTCGAGGCATGGCTCTGCTCGTGATGCTTTTGGGAACTCCTAAAAAAAGAATACAAAATGGAAGCAAAAATTAAAGTCTCTTGAACGTCTGTCACATATTTGCATCACTTT